AATCTAGTCATCACCACCCACCGCCAACTCTTGGGCTACTCTTTTACCAACGAATAGTGGGATTGACCGTCACATTATAACGCCCCCACGGCTGAAAGGGCGAGCATGTTTGGTGGGATGGGGATTCGAACCCGCGACCCTCAGATTGCGAGTCGAGCGCCTTAACCACCTGGCCATGCCGGGCCAGGACATATTGCAAGAAATTATTTCAGGACGTGCTGAAACTAAACATATCATGGAAAATCAATCATCGATGCATAATTAAAAACCTCATTCAATCGCTGATTTTCGAAAATCCAAGGTCCATATGAATAAAAATTATCTCCGAGATCATGCATATTTCTTTGTTCACCAATAAAAAAAATCAGATAATTGCTTATTCATGAAACTGAATAGAGAAAAAAACAGATAATGATACAAATAAATATATACAATCAATTCATAAATCCTCAGTAAAATAGAAGGAAGAATAACATTTGTTGTAACATTACAAGGCTCCTTTCTTCTGCCTTGATTCACAATTCACACGCTGAAAACAAAGAATTAGAAATCAAATCTGTGTAATATAAATTAATAAGAAGAGTACTTAATACACGTAGGAAACAAGTAAATGTATAAGACACTTATACATTTTTCCCCTTTATTTCACTTACTACTGTATTCAAAAGTACAAGATTTGGGTTCGAAAAACTCCGTTATCCCATTAAACTACAATGCAAAAACATTATTCAGTACCAAACAGAGGTTTATTTTTCAGTATACACAACTTGAAGATAGCTTTTATATGCGGAAACATCTGTTAGCTGAGTTCTTGGTCAGATCTTAAAATATAACGTTGATAAACGGAAATATCGGCGCATGTATATATGTAGACCTTGAAAGTCGAGTTGTTAAAGATCTACATATGCCGATGTTTCCGTTTATCAACGTTATATTTTAAGTTCTGTGCAAGAACTCAGCTAACAGATGTTTACGCATATAAAAGCTATCTTCAAGTTTTGTACACCAAAAAACTTTTCAAGTATACACATCCTATTTCAAAGAATAATCGGTAAGAAAAACGGTCCTTTTATCTTTTTTTTTACATAATTTATTTCTTAAAGAAGCATCTGTGCAGTAAAAAAGAAAAACAGATATGGGTGTCCTTTAGCTTTTGGGGGGGACGCAACTCAATCCTTGAATATTTGTTTATGTACCTACAAAGCAATTTATATTGTTAATATCAACAGACTTACATTTTGTGTTGGTAAATATCTAGCGATCCTCCGACCTTCAGTCCAAAATAATTATATATGTCATTACGTGACGGTATTAATCCAAAAACAGTTTTCAGAAAAGATATGAAACTGTACTGCATTGCTGTGGCGAATACAATTAAAGACTTGCCATTGGCAATACAAAACTAAGAAACTGTAGGCTTGTATCGTGGATTCTTTCACATATTTCCTCTTCCAGTGTTTTTGTTATCAAACACACCACAGGAGTAAATCTATCCACGCGCTATCACGTGCTGCTTGCTATTCTCTCACATGAAGCCTAGTCATAGGTATTGTTCTCTAGCCAGTAGTTAGCTAGTGTGCCACTTCTGTGTTATCAAAAGTTTATGCGTTTGTGAAATAATGCAGGTAGCCAAAAAATCACGAGATGTCACAATTCTTTATAACTATACTCGTCGTATTCAACTTTTGCATAGCCAGATTAACTCATACTAATATTATGTTTTTTTATTATAAAGTTCATAGACCCTTGAAAAGGGCGTAAGCCAAAACGTCAGGTAGAATAAAAACAATTATCTGAAGTTGTTTTTCGTCTTGATTTGAAATAAAGTAACACACTTTTAACTGCAATATTAATTTTTAATGTTGATATAGGAACTATTGTATGCGTAAAAGGCATTAACATTTTCACTTCACCTTTAAATCAACAAACTCCAAACATATCGATTTATTAGTAGTGTCCTGTGTGTGAAAACAAGCACATATGATCGTTTATAAAAATATAAATATATATATAAATAATAATGAATATCTTTACTTCCAATTATAAAATTACAAAATACAGTTGACGTTCAATTCATGTACACTATCCTGTTGGCTTTTTGTTGCAAATACTCATTTATCTGGAGAGGGAAAAAAAAGTTAGCAATAAATAGACAAACATATTTTTTTTTCGGTTTGAGGGACTAATTTTTTTACCACCTAAACATTTGGATGACTGCATTAATTTCCAGTCCTGCACAAGATAAATCATAAAATGGGTTTAAAAAACAAATAAATTTGATAAATCCGCTTATCACAGTGCGGGAGTGGGGGGAGACCAGAAGAAGGAGAGGGAGCACAGGAGTGGGCTGAAAGAAGAAATGGTGCGGAAAATGACCCTTTCTCTGGAGAAGTGCATACACATGGAATAACACAGAATCTGGATTCCCTTTGCGTAAAATAAAAACATTTAGAAAATATCGTAGAACCTCTAATACATTTTAAACTGATAAAATACTGACCAGTTCCACATACAGCTAGTATTTTCTTAAAGGTGAGTTAAAGAAATGAAAATATATATATGTGTGGAGGAGCATTTTAAATGTTTGCCTATATCAAAGAATCATATTTGACCAGCCCTGGA